AATCGAAAATCCTTTCCTCACAATGCCATTCTGTCATGACCAATAAAAATATAGAAGTGACTCTGACATCATAAACAAACTATAGTGCAACGGTACTTGTAGATATGAGAAAAAAAGACACTAGTAGAATTGTATTCCTTTATATAGAGCTATATCAACACATAACAGAAGGCGCTAGTAAACAGATACACTCGTCTAATACTCCACACTACAATAGTTTGTCCATATATAGTCAAACTTTCAGATCTCTTTGACTTATTTTGCTAATTTGTCATTTAAAAAATTTTTCATCTTGTATAAGGGTAAAAACAGGAAGACGTCGATAACTTTTGAAGGAATGAGATTGAGGAAAATCCCCTTTAGGGTTTTTACTATCTCAATATACTCAACTAAATGAGATATGAATGAATGAAAACGGGAGGTATCACCTCAGATGGTCCCCTCGTCAGTCTACAGGGCTGAAACTTTCAAGATAGATTGAGTAATCAAAGATGTATCGGTGATATAAAAATGAGACGGAACGACAATGGTAGAGAGAAGCAAGCCAAAAAATAAGGTGTGCCGTTTATTTTGGATAGGGAGATATCTATATCTTGTATTCTATGATAGGCTTTGGATCGACTGCAACTAGTCCTATTCAACGTAATGGTGTTCATTATGATTGTGGATGTGTGATATCTGAAAAAGGAGAATTACTTCATTGTCATGGGACAAATGCATTGAGTGTTCCAGCAGTTTACATTGCTTATTTCGCTACGTTTGGTGCTATGGTAAGTCTATTGAACGATAATATTCATTTTAAATGTCGAATTTTTGTTTTTTTATCATCTAGGCTTGGCATTTATTATTATTTGAGTCATCTGTAGAAAATCTTTATCATCCTATTCTTGCAAAGCATGCGGTTGATCCTACAGCAGTAACCGAACATATAGATGATAAAAATCTTCGAGGGAAAGTGTGTTTTTTTGTTTGTACTCGATTATTATCGACGCATTTTTTCCTCTCATTACAATCGAATCAAGATGATGCTTGTCTTTTATTTAATCGTTGTTTTGAATTATTTGCTCAGCATAGTCGTCAATTAGATCAAAATCCATGGATTAAACCAATTTATAGAACAAACAATGAAAAACTTGAAGCTGAAAAAGAATTTCAAAATAAAATCTTCTATCCTACACATAAAAAATTAGCCGATTATAAAAAAATAATTAATACTATACAATCACAATCTCCACTACAGACTAAATTACAAGATTACATAACTCAAATGCCTAGTCTAATTGAAGTCATTCATTTTAAGACTGAATTATGTAATCCAGAATCGACTAAATTACCTGTGACAATTTTACGACGATTACTTGACTCATTTGAATTTCTGAAAATAACTCGATATATTTATGCTTTGGGTCAATTTCATGTTCTTTTACATCGAACTTTTACTCAATTAATTGAACGAGAAGAATTTCATACAATTACATTGAAACAATTATATGAACGAGCTCATCAATCTTTAAATCGTTTGCGTCAACCAAATCAACAAAATAAATATTATACGATCATTGAAAATGGTATCGAAGCTGTTAATGATTATCATAAATTTGCTGGTGGGCAAATTCAACCAGGTGCTTGTGATCTTACTCAACGTTTTGAAACTATTTCTATGGAAACTGCTGTAAGCTATCTCGTTGAAACAGATAATTATGATGAAGGAGATATCATTATGCGTATATTAAGGCAAGTATCAAGAAATTCTTTTCATTTCAAGGAATCGATTGATTAAACTAAGAGAAACATTTGCAGTATTGAGATTAGGGATGTGCAGTGTTGATGTAAATATTGAAATACTGACGGGTGGTGCGACGGGATGAGTGGGGAAGGTTACCCTTCCTGCGATTAGAAATTTTGGCTGCAGCTTTCTCCCATTTTGGAGAAATTTGGGCTATACCTTTCGCCGATTTTGGGACATCCAGGCTACATTTTTCTGAGAAAGATGTAGCCTAAAACTCCCAAAATCGAAGAAAGATATCTGTCTCCAATTACGAAACAATTTTTGACCGTTGTTCCATTTTTGCGAAACACCCCCCTGCTTTGAGCTCTTCGCGCCGCCACTGAATACTGGCAGTTAGTCATCGACACAGTGATCCATATTTTAGTCATAGTATAGGTATAAATCCTAAAAGCGTTCGTACCATTACATCTTTCTTCTCGAATTATGGTCATTTCATTGATTTTTAAGCCTACTGCAGGATATTAGGGATAAATCTGTAATGAGGAATTCCGCTTGAAATTCTCCCCACCTTTATTGCTCGCTGAAAATTCGGCAAAATGATCATAACTCGAGAAGAAAGAACTATAGATACGAACCCTTTAGACTTAATATCTATACAATGATTTCCATCTATGAGAAATGTATGAACTCAAACAATAGAAATCAGTTGAAGAGGTTCCCTCGTAAGACTCTTCATTATTGAAATAAATTCATTATTGTGTGTTCAAAGATAAATGTCAATTACTCAACATCTAATAAATATATATTTTTCAATTTAGTATTCTTGTCAATTATCACAATAGTCTTCTCCAATTACTCGAAAGAGAAATAAATGAAAATGGCAATATTCTTGGTTTAGGCCCATTAACAGATATTATCAATGAATTATCAGAAAGAGAAATGTCTATTCTACAGATAACACAAGGAAACATGGGTGTAATTACATTTAATAAGATGGATTGTCAATGGATTGAACAATTATCTCGAGCTAGTCTTGAAAATGAAAAAGATTATTTTATAAAACTTAATACACCATTAAAATTTAATTTTCTTTATGTTCAATCGTATCTTATTCGAACATATCTTCTCTTTTGTCGTATTAATTATGAACATATCAAAGGAAAATATCAATGTTATACTCAACGAAAACCTCCGATTACTACAATTAACCTTGCCGTTAATGATGGTGATGATGACAATACTCTATTAGCTGACGAATGGAATCATTTAGAACATAAGGCTTTCGATCAACTTGAGAATGAATATAATCTTCTTCAACGAATTATAGATGTATTAAGAAATTCTCCTGAAGATTATTCATCAAAAAAGGTTTCAGAATTTATTCAAAATACCAATTATGATGATCGATTTGCCCAACAATTCGAACAATATCGAATGAAAGATTTTTCTTTGTCATAAATCAAATATATTAGTCAGTTGTATGAACAATCAATCAATAATTTTCAACATGCATTTATTAATGTATCTAATTTAATTCGTGTTCCTCTGAATGAAAAACTTAGCGATGAGCTTGATCATATGTTAAAATTATCGTTTATTTCTTCTAATGATCAAATTAGGAAAGAAGAACTTCAAGATAAGATACGAACGATAACTGAATTTTTAAATGATTTGAAAAATATAGAAAATTGTTTCAGTCGTCTATGGGCTGAATCACTTACAGAAATATGTGCATTATTATACATTGAAAATCCTATTATTACATTATTACCTAAAGAAATCAAATGTGAAAATTATGTTCCATTATGTTTGAAATTAATTGAAATACGATCTCAATTACAAGAACGAATGATTGATATTGAAGAAAAAACTATTGATCTCTGGAATGCTCGTTTTGATATTCCAGATACAGATCAACCGAAGGAAAATAGTTTTAATATATTTCGAAATAAGACCGATGATGTTATAGGTCTCGATCCAAATCTAATTTTTACACCAGATCCACAATTACCTACTACCCCAAAACCAACCACTCCTATGGATCCATTCGACTGGGAAGGACTAATTCCGCTCGGTCCTGCTAGCCCATCGCCACCTCTACCAGTAGTCTATGAAAAAACAATCAATTATACATCTCTATTTAAATTGAAAATAACATTAATTTCATTTCCAATTCTATTTGAAAAAAGTCGAATACAAGTAGAACAATTGGCATCAAAAACACAAAATACACGTTTTGTTATTACATTTAAAGATGGTAAACAAACAAAATATCATTGTAGTAAGCCTGAAAAATTCTATATGCAATTAAAAAAAATCTTTGACGAGAAAAAATATGATTTGAATACTATTGGTATTATTGATTCAAATCAAATATTGGTTGACTTTATGAAAACAAATGTAAATAATTCATTACCTATTATTGAAGAAGAATATCATATTAAGGAAAAAAGATTATTAATTTCTATTATATTAGAAAAATAATCAATTGGAATATTTTGCCACATCTGAAGCAACACTTACTTCGATTGTTAGTCATTTTATTCTTGATCAACAATTGAAATTTACACCACTGGAAACTTATTTGTGTATTTGATTCTCTTGGGCGATACATTGCTGAGGATTGTCAAATCAATAATATTTATCGATCTGACGAACAAACATCAATTCAGATTCGAGTTTGTCCATGCAAACAAGATGCTAATATTTGCTGTGAAATGACTCTTACAGCAGGCCAAGGTAATTTTTTCATTTAGATTATCAGCTGAAATTATCATGTTTTGTTGTTGTTTTCAGATGAAACACGAAGTCAATACTTTAACTCAACGACAACTTGGAAACAAATTGATTTATGGTTGAAAATTCTTGACATTAATGCAGCAACTCCGGCTGATAGTTACTATTTCTGGAATGCAGAACAGCAATATATTATTGATGAAGATCAGACAATATCTTTGGCACTTGATCAAACTGAATGTATCAATGTCGATGTATTCAATGGAGAAGATGTAATAGATATAATTCTTTCCTATGATAAGAATAGTCAAACAATTCGTATTTTAAAATCATGTCCAGTTCATAGTCTTCTAAACAATCCAAAATATCTCAAACAATTAGATTTAAAAATATATCCTGAAGATTATACTCTGGTTTTTGTATTAAATGAATCAGAAAAGCAGATTCTTAGTAATTTAGATATGGAAAATTCAATTAATCACTATGCTTCAATGACTAACGAATCAATTCATTTTCAAATCTCTATTCTCATTCAAATCATTCCATATGATGATCAAAAAGAAATTCCTATTCCTATTTCTCATCGAAATATAACAATTAA